GGGAGACGCACGACGGGCGACACACGACGGGCGACGCACGACGGACGACGCACGACGGGTGACGGGCGATGCACGACGGACGACGCACGACGGACGACGCACGACGGAAAATGGCATGTTTGGAACTGGTAAATGGCAGAATTGGGCCACAACAAAAAGCAAAATGCGACGGGCGACGGCAGATATGGAACAATGCATTATAATGTTCAATATCGCATATACATTATGAGCATTACAAATTTGTCAAATATTGCTCATACGCAAAAGATTGCGAACAGCGCAAGTATATACCCAACGCATTGAATTTCGTAAACTCTGGCGTGCCGTAACACGACGGTTACGGGTATAAAGCGGTAAGGTAGTACGGTGGCTCATGATGTTGCGCATGACCCTTTTTTCGGCTTTATGTGGCCGTACTATAGCGTTATAACGCTGTACTGTTGCGTTGTATTGCCATATTTATGGCGTTATATCGCCATACTTTAGCGTTATAACGCCGTACTATTGCGTTATACCACGTACTCTTGCGTTGTAGATATCTCCACACTACTGCGTTATATCGCCATAAAGCTGACAACCAAAGCAGTTTATCAAGACGGGAAGGCTACGAACGCTATGCTAAACTTCCTCTTACGGTGGCTCGTATTTGCCTATTCGTTGCGCATGACCTGTTTCCTTTCGGCGTTACATCGCCGTACTATAGCGTTATATCGCTGTACTATAGCGTTATATCGCTGTTCTGTTGCGTTATATCGCCGTAAGGCGTTATATCGCTGTACTATATAGCGTTACAACGTTGTACTAATTAATGCGTTATATCGCTTTAACTCTATAACGCTCTATAATGCGGCACTATAGCGTTGTAGCACCGTACTATTGCATTTTATGGCTTACTTTTGCATTATAACGCCGTACTATGGCGTTTTATTGCTGTATTATTGCGTTATAACACTATACTATTGCGTTATAGGGCAATCTTTTGCGTTATATCGCCATACTCCCCCCCGAAACGTGCAACAACTGAAGCAGTTTACCTAGACGGGAAGGCTATACCAATGCCATGCCAGGCTTCTTCTCCCACCTTTAGGTGAGTTTAAAACATGTCTTCGGTAACTAAAGCATGCCTTTATCAAAATATGTAATACTTTTTTGTAGAAAATTTTGATTACCTGGTGTACTATGAAACGTTTTGCGTTAATATTTCTACATCAACCATCCCTTCCATCCTACCTCCTCTTGCAGGGCCCCTGAAATTCCCCAATCTTGTGGATTGTTTACACGGGCTATTTCAACCATTCAGTTGAAAAGAAGATGTTCTCGGGAAAATGACGCAGTGATATCCGTACTTGAATTTCCTCCCGTCTTGTAATTGGCCTGGTGAAACTTGCGTTTTTCAATGTCATTCCCCGCTTATTAGCCTCGTTGGTGGCTCTTCCGTTTGTTTTTATACTCGCCATTTTCTCTCTGTACCGTTGGTTTTTATTACCCGTGTTTCTTGGTCGGAGATTGTAAAACATTTTAAAAGAACATGTGTGCCACTGGAATAAAAACTAGAACCCAAACTGCTCAATTGTAGGGCTTCAATACGTGATGCATAAACTCAGTTCTCACGCGTGTGTAGCAAGCCAAAAAATGCAAAAGTTTTCAAAAGATGTAATTGTGTAGATTTCAATGCTCTTCCGATTAACGTGGTTACATTGAAATTGTATGTAGTCCAGATAGGCGTATTACAGGACGGAGAGTCCATTGAAAGTGTTACTATAGTTGCATGCAATTTTGTAGAAAGACGTGTGCGCAACTCTGAAAGTATTGCAAATATAGAACTTACATTTACATCGTAATGCACGAACTTAATGAAATGTTGATCTACATTTTTTTTGCTGTTTTAGGCATCATGAACATTGACGGCCAGATCACGCGTTACTTCAGACTCGGCTGCACCCATCTTCAAGTTGCTGCAACTTTAGCAACAGTCCATGCATGCTATGGAGTGAGCGCACCCTACAACGAAAGCCTGAGGCATATTGGACTGTATCGTCGGAAGAATTAATCTGACCAAGCGGATATTGTAAGGTTCCTTCAAGAAAGGTTTATTCATCTTAGATTACTTCAGGAGGGTTTCGTTGTAGGTAGACGTTGTAGACATAGAGTGCGGATATTGTTACACTTAGCAAAAGGTGCCGGCTGGTGCGTCGCAGATACAGTGGGCGACGACCAAACTTTATTTGGCACATAGACTCATAATTATGACAAACTCATGCCATACGGAATGGGCATCAGTGGGTGTATTGATGGTTTCTCTCGAAAAAATAATTGTTGGAAACAAACATCACTTCGAATGACCCTCAATTTATTGGGGGCTTTTTCATTCAATGCCATCTAAACATTATGGCGACTGCCTGTCTTTAGGACTGATCTTAAGACGGAGAATGGACATGTACTTAATTTTCAAAGATTCCTTAGGGTCGATGGGGATCGGTCTAGCGGTGGACGTAGGTACAGCTTCATTACTGGGAAGAGTACTGCTGACCAATGCATCTAGTGTTGGTAAAAACAACTGAAGAAAGAATACACCGAGTTCTGTTTTGGGTGACTTTATTTCGATGCATAAAGGATGACGGTTACTTCTTCGGGAGACAGTTTGGACAAAGGGCTGATTTGATTCACATTCATGAGAATGATACATTATTGGTCAATCCATTTTTCGATGTAAATGTCAGCCAAAGTCATTTTTGTCTTACGAAGATTAAGAGTTCATCAACTTTTCTTCGGCGCAAAGGATTCAAATAAATTGTTTATTCAAGGTTACTTCCTGTAAAGATAGGATGATCTGGACAAAATAGCGGAGCTGTGACCACGTTTGAGCTTCCACAGTTGTGCAATACCCCAGACAGCCTGAAACCAGTGAATCAGGGTAGAGTGGATGTGGGTAAGGAGGAATCCCTCTTCAAAGACAACTACCCTTGCGATGAGGACCTCTTCTAGTTTGCATGTTTACTGATGAAAGCCGCTGGCCGCAGGGCCCCAATACCCCAGAACAGGCTGTCCATTTGTACATTGATCTAAAAAGACACCTACGAAGAGCTTAAGCGTGATCCTGTGAATTAATACCTCATGTTCCATCTGAACATAAAGGACTGAAAGGCGCACTTCTATTAGAGCATGACTCTGGCATGACAAGTCTCTAGCAGTACATGTATAGTAGGGGGCAAACAGAATTAAGGATCACTGTCACTTGTGAGACTCATCAGATAAATAAAGAAGGCCAATGAACATAAAACTTTAATACTCAACAAACCTTTAAGAACAGGAAGATGTAAAGGGAACCCTCCGAGGAAGCACCTGTGTCAGTTTTTAACACAGTTAGGCATCTTGTGACCAAAGAGGTTCAAATCTATTTGCAGTTAATGATCTCATGATTAAATGTCTGTTTCTTTTAAAAATAAATCAGACGGGGCCTTCCTAGGAAGACTTCTCAGTATGTTTTGTGGGGGAAGTATCCTTTTTGAGGGCGTGGTCTGCAGTGGGGTGATTCCGTGGAGGCAACTACCACAATTTCAGTGCGTTGTGACCAAATTGTCTCGGATGTGTTAAAGAATCCCTATTCAACGTTTTTCTCTTTCTTCAAGATAAATCAGACGGAGACCTTTCTAGGAAGACTTCTCAGTATGTTTTGTTGAGGAAGTGCCCTTTTGGGGGACGTGGTCTGCAGCTGGGGCGCTAAATTCAACAATACGGAAATACATCGGCAATACTAAAAATACACGGGAAATTCCTGCTGTACATGCTTGAATCACCGTGACTCACTTGTCCAGGGCCTTTATAGCACAACAGCTGGGCCTAGACTATGCAGGACGAAAAGTGGCCATCTGCTTTTCTACTATCAGACTAGAAGAAAAGCTGATTTTATGTTTTTGTGACATGTGATATTCGTCTTTTCTACTACCTGAAATGCTGAATGACCATTTTATTGTAATGTATTTTTCACTTTTTTGCTACTACAAAAGCAGCTTTACTTTTCCTCTTTTTCATGGCGGCCAAAAAGTGGCCATCTGCATTTTACCTGTCAAAAAGCAGGAAAGTGGATCGAACGTTTTGACGACAACCGTGAATTCAACTTTGGTGCTTTTGTGATAGCGGAGAAGCATAATTCTTTTACATAGGTGGCCGAAAAGTGGCCATCTGCTCTTCCGTCCTCAAGGGTGCAGACCACTAATTCAAGTGAGAGTTTCTGGCCTGCTCATTAGCGTTACAAATGCCTTCACAGTATCTTTTAAAAAGGAGATTGCTTGGCCCCCAAAATGGTGAGATTGTGTAAATCCTTGCCAGGATGAACTCTCTGGGTCTTTGAGCTTTCATATGAGAGCAGAATGGCTAAAACCTACGGTTGAAAAATGGTCCCAAGTGCCCGAGAAAGTTGAGGGTTGCCACTTGAAAAATGGCTGCAATCAGACTTGGGAAAAATCACTTTTTGGGGGGTGATTTTGTTTTGTGGGAATAATTAAAAATGTAATTGGTTAACCCACAGAAGATTGAAAGGAAATTGAAAGATAAGTGACCAGACAAGAATTTCATTTGTGTTTCAGAAATCTCAGGCGTGCATGTTATTGGGCCCTGAATAGTGCTGATTTTACACTGTTTTCAATGGGGCTTGATTTAGTGGACTTTACCCTCAATGGGCAGTGAATGGGGTCATTAATCTCTAGGTTACGACCATTTCCGTTCTGGGGGAGTGAAGACGTACAGAAACCAATACCTAACCATGCCTTCTGCAGATCAATTCCATACGGCAGTATCAGTGTCCCTGTGAGGCTGAGAAAGCGGCATCTTAAAGGAAATACAGTTTTACAACTATAATTCAACAGACACACGCTTGCTAGGACCACGGAAAAGAATGAGGTGAATCTTTCATTACAACAGACAGGGTGGACTCTAATTATTGCTTTATACGTCTTCAATCCCCTAGAAAGGACTTGGTCGTAACCTTAGGTTGGCGACCCCGTTCATGGCCCTTGGAAGGCAGAAAATGAAATGGCCATTTGTGGAAAAGTAGAATTCAAGGTTGTTGCCATAATGTCCAATCCTCCTTTTTCAGTTTCTGCGTGTTCGGAAGGATAAAAACAGATGGCCATTTTTCGGCTGCCAGCGAACGAAGAAAAAGCAGAATCTGCTTTTCGTGAAGCAGAAAAGCGGGAAATAGAAAAATGCATAACCAAACAATGTTCGTTCTGGTTTGGAGGTGGCAAAGTAGAAAAGTCGAAAATTGCATGTTAAAAAACGTAAAATCAGCTTTTCAACTATTCTGACAGCAGGAAGGCTGACGGTCACTTTTGTCCTCCACACCCACGAAGTGTAAATAATTCCACGTGGCCAACGTCTCTAGACCCGGGTTCGCCCTTTCAATCACAGGGGCTTATTCAGGTCTCCAGGTCAACACACTATCTGTTTTACTGCGCTGGGGCCAAACACAAGCTTCCAGACACATTCATATTGTGCGCGATATGCAGCAAAGGGGACCCCCTTTATTGTGACTTCTTTTGCGTTGATGGAATCTTTGGAATTCCTTTCAGATTTCTGAGGGCACAATAGTCTTAGGATATACAGCTTGTGCATCACAGGGAGTCCCTTTTTTAATTTGCCGCATATCGTGCAGGGTATCCCAGACAGTGGCCTGATACATTTTCCAAAGGGGAAAGGAGTATAAGAGTAGGTATTGCCTGCATTAACATAATGCAGTAGTGTTTTGTACACAAACACATGAAGATGGATATGCCGCTCGTTTCAGTCACTGCACGCTAGTGCGATCCCATGATTGACACCCCTCTCAAGGTAGGTGGGGGAATGTTAGGTTCTTAACGAGTCCATGACACTTAAAAATAGGATACAACTTTGGGAGGGCGATCGACAGGCATGCACAGGTAAAGAACGGGACATATAATAAATTCTTAGCCATTGACTGGTTATTTGCTGATAACTCTATAACCTAAGGGATTCCGTTACTTTAAACTTGTTTGTCAGTGCTTCTCCAATGTACATATCTTTAGCAGTGTCTGATGACCATCTTCCATGCTTCTTAATCAATCTATCACGGGTACCGGCCCTCGCAGCTTGAGTTGCGCCGTCTGAGCGCAAGCTGTGCAGCCCAAACGTTTGAACATTTGGAACGATATCTTTAATTTCTTGAACCTGATCTAGATATCCTCCAATTATAGAGATTTCTTCGAAGAGTGTTTTGTGATGAGAAAGATATAAAACATCAAGCATGTGAATGAAGACTTCTCTCATTCTAGAATACGAAATAGGCGTATTAGCTGCTCTGAGGATATAGCCCGCTCTGTATTTCGTAAGAGGGCGAAAAACGAATTCTTCAGAACCTTCCATACAACTACACATTAAAATCTAACGTTCCATGATTTTTACTGGACATGTGCCAGAGTATGTTCTATTTATTATAATCCAGGCACCGTCTCTATACTGGTCTGTTTTACTCTTCTCAATAAATACCCATGTGGGTATCAAATATTACTACATCACAATATTTTTTATTTGCCAACTCGTTACATCTAAGGAAGCCCGCAAAACCCACATCAATTAATGCAAGTGTCCTGATATATAACAATGATAAAGTTCTAGGGGGTACTTCTCACAAAATCTCTGGATATTGTTAGGAATTAACGGTTCTTGGCGTTTGGGTGCTCTGTCTAGTGTCCTCTGTGCCGCTTCCAGCACAGACTTTGGCAACTGGTCGTCGGTGGGAGACTGCAGTGATGCGACACGGTGTGCCCATGCTATACTGTAGAATGCAGTCTTGACTGGGCCTATGGGGCAGGTGAGCTGCATGTCTGCATGATGCTCAGCAGGTACAATGAGACATGCAGAGGGGATTCTAGAAGTACTGGAACCGGTTGCAAATGAGCTCTTGCCCAATTGAACCATCTCTGGAAACCAATAACGTATTGCTTTGTCGTCGACTCTGCTCTGTCTTGAAGCACCGACGTAGGTAACTTGGTAAAGCAACATTCACAATATTCACATTCACAATAAGCCTTCAAGTATTATCGAGGCTCTGCAGCCCACAGTAACGTTGTAGCCCTGCAAAATATTGTCAAGATTTTGCAGCCCTTGCTTATATATCCAACATACCAATATGTTCTGAATTCTCGTAGCATTATCTATCTTGATCGTTCCTATGCATGTGTGTTAAAATTCAAGGTACATGCTCAACCAGCTTCCATTTTATTTGTCTTCGCTTATGGTTTAACATGCCTACACGTAGGATAATCTCAAGGCCAACATGAAACATGTGAAATTTGGGATATCTCTATGCAAACAATGGTCTCCCACTTCAAAAGAGTCTAGATATTTTCCGTTGACTAAGTAATTGCTGGCTGTTTTGAGGTCTTATACTTTACTGATTGTTTCCATACATGAAAATCCACCTTTCGCAAGTCCAAAACTGGCCTCTTTTTGCCACTAGCCTGGACCGAGACCGACAAACGGCTAACAACTGTGGGTTTATCCGCAGACTTTTCAATTCTGCCTTCTGGTTATAGCCGATGAATTGTTTGCGTTACAAATGATCACTAGCGGAATGATTTTGCTTGAAAGGCAAGTAGAATGCGCTCTGCAGATTCCGGAGCGGGCGCTGCCATGGTTGGTTAGTTCACAAAAATATGCTACGATGAAGTAATGTTTGCCTGCCGGACCGCAGATGGCACATTTCTTCCTCCATGCTTCCGGAAGAAAATAATTTTCTTTTCTATATCTTCTTCATTTAAGAAAGAAATCAAAATACAAAATTAGACACTGGACACAAATTTGGCGAGCACATTTGGCGAGGTCGAGCTAACTGCCTCGCACACACCATATGATAGTGATTTTTATTTTCTAAACTGCTTAAATTGAGGATGATAAGCATCGAAGTTCATATCAATAACAATTTCATCTTGAAAAGTTCCATATACGGAGGTCACTTGACTCCCTGCGCACAAACCCTAACTGATATAAAAAATTTTCGCAAAACTCACTGGTGAAATAACGTTTTGGAATTGTTTCTATGGCAAAAAGGTAATACAGAGAAGAATTAGTGATGTCAGCATAGGGAAATCTTCACCTTAATGTAAATAAAGCTCAATACACTATCCATATCCGAAAGTCGTTAATTCGGCCAGCTTGGAAAGCAAATCTTTGTCTCAGATAATACAGTATTCAACATGGAAGGAAAAAAAGCGCCAAGTGGCCTTTGTCTTAAAGACTATATACTTTCTAAATTCCTAAAGCGGTTGAAGGGAGCAAAAGGGCGTCTTGGTTTGGTTTAATATAAGCGTTTCTGGCCTTTTCTGACTTCCATCTGCCGTGCATGGATATCAAATGAGCAGGAATCTGAGCGTTTGAGGCAGCTGACGCTCCTCCTGACCTGAGTCTGCGCAAACCATATTTGCGGATATCAGACACGTAAGGACTTGGAGCTTGCAAGAGTAA